CCAATGGCCAGCACCCATTCGATTTTTGACCTACCGATAGGCTAAATGACTTTGTGACACTTGAGTGACTTCCTGTTAGCTGGAGCCCCAAATTATTTGCTAACAGCAAAGTGACAAATGGATCGTTTTTTAGTCCTTAAACGTCCACGTGTGGACACTCAATCAAAACCACCTGAAAGCGAGAGGAATTCTGCACATAATAGGCCTCGTGAGTACAAGTAGCTTACTTCTGGGTCTGTTTCATTCAAGCTCTGCTCTGTGTGTGTGTGTGGCACGAGCCATTTTGTGCGCGAGCGAGAGAGCTCGCCTCGCGCACCAGTGGGTATCTACCGGAGATCGTTGTGGTTAGCATCTGGTGCTAGCTAGTCAAGCTAACGGATATAAGGAGCTTTTTCAACAACAGGGTGGAGGGAGAACTCTCTCCTGTCAGACTGAGAGTCTCAGATAACCTCAGCTCAGGTGAAGTAAAGGACTCTCAGTGTTTAGATAGTTAACTTTAGTCTAGTTATCTCAGTGGGTCTCAAACGATTTGTTTTAAAAGGGGAGTGATTTGTAAAATATCTATAAAGAAATAGAAAATCTGTTTACAGTTCTGTTTCATATGGGTGTTGAGAGATGTATCCATAGATCTCTTAATGTTGCTCTCAAAGTGCACCAGATTGATGCTTTTAACTTCAATATTTAAAAAAAATCACCACTAGAGGAGGTGAGGACCCTCCTAGAGGAGGTGAGGTCCACTCCCCACTTGTAAAAATAGCACTTTACCCCTGCTTACACCTAGGTTGCATTCCAATAGTCCATTTAGCTTAGGAACCTTCCTAATGGAGTGAAATGACCCGGAAGTACGTCACTGGCAGCCATGATAAGTGCCGTTCCAATTCTCCAAATGAAAGGAAAGGAGGTTTCAAACTTCCTTTATAACCTCCTTTAGCTTAGGAACCACTGGACCTCCCTAACCGAAAGGAGAGGAGAAAATGCTGCCCCACAATGCATTGCAGCCGCAGCATTTGCCGTCACTCAACAGTCGGCCGTTCACGGACACAAACGATTATGGGAGAAATTATATCATGAAAGTTACGGTGCTTATTACACATTTTAAAACGTATGTGGTAAGTTGCCAAAGTGCTTTGTTTTGAACGTTCATCAGTATTATAATCAAAAAGAGAAATATAAACGTTAGTTTTTACTGAAATGATCAAATAAAGTCAACATTTCACTGAGCTGTGTGGGGTTGTTCAACTTTTAATAGATGTTTGAATGGTGATATACACAGCGATAGATGTTAAGGACTAACGTTTATAATAAATACATTTGTATTGATTTTAAGATCTTTTCATCAATCATACGTATTGGGATCATTTGTATTAATGTGGACCGGAGGGAGAGGGTGACGACGAGCAGAAGTTTCACTTTCCTTTTTTATTTCAATTCCAACTTTGGTCATGAAGAATATGTTTCTCTGTTGTCCACGTTCATAAAGCATAAAGCAACAGCATCAGAGCACGGTGCAGAGTCTCTAGATGAGTTTACAGTAGTCCCTCGTTCTTATTAAACATCCATGTTGTAGTCCGCTGTACAGAAAACTGTAGTTTCCATAGTTTCCCCACAGCAGCAGACGCACATTCATGACGTCCGCTGGCGCATCATAAACACGTCGGATAGTGAAAGTGCATTCGGATTCTCTAAAGTACCGCAGTCTCTTCTCCTAAATCCTTTTGAATTCTCCTATCCACTATCCCTTAACCCCGTGACGTTTCACTCAGAGGTCAAGGAATAGGAGATAGGGTTAGAATTTAGGAGCTGATTTTTGGATTATCGGAACGCAACCCTAGGCTGATTATCGAGCCTTCATTGTTACAGTCGCGGGTGCACTGTGTGTGCGTGTGGGGAGTGTTGCAGTCAGGGGTGAATGTGGTTTGAATTTCTTGCAGGTACTATAATGCTACCCCGACCTTCATTGGTTCATATTGTTCTCCTCCCGCCCCCAGCTTCATGCATCCCTGAACACAAACTTCACATTTGTAATGCCTTTATGGGGTAGAAATTAGAAACACTTGACAATATGTGACCCGCTCTATCGAAATCAGTCGGAAGTCGCAACGGCTCATTTCAAAATAAACGTGGATTTACGTAAAAAACTATTTTTTCGGTGTTCGGGTGTTTTGTTTGATTTTAAACAAACAAAGTCTTGGCTTTCAGAATATGAAACTTTTATTTCCAAAATCACACGATAAATATATTTTTGAAGCTTGTAAAGGGACGAAGACAGGCACCTCTCCCTCGCAATCTGCTCTTCCGCAGCGCCGCCCCCCCTCCCTCCGGCTGAAATTATGAAAGAGTATAGTAATCATAGATAACACGGCAGGGTCCGTTACAGTTTGTTTTCATCTGATTTCAATTAAACAAAGTCTTGGCTTTCAGAATATTAAACTTGTTTCGGCAAATTCAGGTGATAAATACAGCTTTGAAGCTTGTAACGGCATAATTACAAGCGGAGAACGGAGTAACTTAACGTCACTGCAGGCATAACAACAGCCGGTGTTTCTCGTGAGGGTTTTCCCCGGGAAACAAACACAATACGCACATACACAAACACGTACACACGCACGCACACACACACACACACACACACACACACACACACACACACACACACACACACACACACACACACACACACACACACACACACACACACACACACACACACACACACACCACACACACACACACACACACACACACACACACACTTCCCCCAGACCAGTAATCCAAACCAAAATATCTTCCCTTCGTAGTATAAATTCCACGGGTGGAGCTGTCAATTCTTCCTGGTCCTCCGGACCGCCTGGAAATCTCTTACCGGTACTAAGGACCGGGTAGGACCGGCACACTTTCAACACTGGTTGCAGTAGAAAATTCAACTGTAGCGCTGGTGCATTAATGGGAAACCCTTAATGTTTGAGCACCCTCTATGAAACGTCAAGCTACCCCACAGCACCCCCTAGAGAAAATCTCTGGCGCCGCCACTGGTCTCAGGGCATCTTAATATTTAAAAACCTATTAATGTGTTATACCAGATTAACGAGAAGAATCTCAGCTAACTGACGATACGAACCATTTTTACCGAAACAAAACACAAGTATCACAAGAAGCGTTAGCATTAGCCCTTAGCTAAAACGGGCAGATGCTACATTCGGTGCTAACTAGCAAAAAACGATCTTTAAAACGTAATATTTTCTGCACAAACTACATATCATCTGAAAGATGATACTCCACAGATTATTTTGTTATAAGTATCATCACTGTAAGACACAAACTCACTGAGCTAGCAGCCAGAACAGAGAAGAAAAAAAACAACAGTTTTCAAAACCATAACAATAATTATGTTTTACCCTTGCTGTTTTGTGATCAAAGCTCGTGTTAAAGGGTATACAAACGCTGCTTAAGGTTAATCCAATGTCTCTTAGTCACTTTAGAATTGTTCCTGATAATCTATCATTACATTCATGGCAGCAGAGTAGGTATAAAGTTTCGCAGTCCCGAGCTAATGCTGTCTCACGTGCTGTTTACGCAAACCTCTCTCTACTTGACGTAAGTGTTTAGCGGGATTTACTAACTGTCACTCGATTCTATTGGCTCTAACGGTTCAGAAAAGGTGTCAATCACCCAAATCGACCAATGGGTTCCAAAGATATGATCCTGCGTAGTATAAACTACGCCCGCTCCATTACGCATTACCACAGCAGGACAGCACCACAGCACGCAGCGACGATAGCAGGTAACAGGTAACAGAGCACATTTCAAGGAGGTTGATTTCTTTGCTTTTAGATCTTTTTCTTGTGTATCCTCTTTCCATTTTAGCAAATAATGGCAGCCAGAAGGGAGAGCTTCACCACCGAGCAGGTGCTAGAGATGCTAGCTGACGATAGCGGGGCTATTAGGCCGCAAGGTGAACCTCGAAAAGTCCTTTAGAAAAGAAATCCCGCTCCACAGAAGTGAAACTACACAATCTTTAGTTCATAAAAAAGAACGATTCATGCTTATCCACCAAAAAAAATTTCGTCGCTAAAATTCCTGCCAATTCTTCTAGGCACCTAATTATTGGCTGAACTATTCCCTTCGAAGCGTAATAATATCTTGGTCCAAAGTCGTGCCACGGTTCATCACGTGATCGTGCTACACCAATTGGGTAGCTGCATATTGTCAACAGAAGTGAAAGATGGCGGCCGCCATGGTTTCATCGAGTAGCGGAGACGAGGAAAACGCACCAGAAAGTCTCAAAAAGTCAAAATTGTCAACACACAAACATTGTTACATGCATATTACGTCTGTGAAGCACGAAAAGGTTGATTGTTTTACCAATACAAGATGGAATACGTACAGGACAAGCTTACAACGGTTGCTCGGCTTGAAGGGAGACTCTCGGAACGTGGTGGCTGAAAACCACAAGCACTGTCTTGATTTCGAGTTCGAAGATATTCCTGAGGACGCTGGCTTCCACCACACATGCTACATAAGGTTTACCGACACAAAGGCCATGACGAAGGTGGAAAGACGGCTCGCACGTGAGGGAGATCAAGACGTTAGGGAGGACCTTGAGGTCGAGCCCATCCCATCGACGTCTCGCAGCACGTACCGAAGCCAAACAGAGAAGCTACGATCAAGGTCAGGCCTGCCAATCGCAGGCTCTGGCCCCGTCCTTCCTGCCCTGTGCATTATATGCAAGATGAAGGAGAAAATGATCATCAAAGCAGGCAAGCGACAAAGGGATCAACTGTGTAAGGCTGAAACATTAAAAGCAGGTAAGCAAACCCCCTCCCCCACCCACACACCACACACACACTACACACACACCACACACACATTCTCTGTGGTTGAATAACTGAAAGGTACAATTATGTGTGAGAGATACGTCAACAAACTCATTGAGTTGTCCTTTTTTTCCGTTTAGGCAAATTGCAGAAAGCTGCTGAGAAGAAAGATGACCAAAGTGTTCTTTTACATATAAAAGACAAAGACTGTGTGGCTCTGGAGGTGCGGTACCACAAAAGCTGTTACAGTCAGTACACCATGTTTTTGCTGAGACCTGACAAACCAGAGACAGAACAGTAAGTTATTTCTCCTTGGATTGCTTTACCTATTTGCACTACCACCAGACTGAAGTCCAGGTGTGTGTCGGCGATGGCTATATATATATATACACATACACATACTTAACATTATAAGTAAACATCCAATTTCCTTCTGTTATATGTGCACACAATCACAACACTTATTCATTTATCCATTTATTTACTTCTCATTCATGTGTTGTAGGGATGAGGCAATGTTTGATGCCAGTTACAAGCTGTTCTGTGAGAGGATCATCCGCCAGAGGCTGCTTGTCAACAATGAGGTGCTTAGAATGGGCCAGCTGAGGCAGGCCTTCATTGACATGGTGAAAGCAAACGAAGGTGTTGATGCTTCAAACTACAGGTAACTGCAATGTAATACAAGTCTTATTATTTATCATGTGCAAGGCCAGCTTTAAACAAAATGTGTATGACAGGCCTGTTTGGAGAAACCCCCATGATGTGTAGTGTGTAGTGTTGTTTGTGATGATGTGGGCCTTTATTTGGCTTCTTTGGTGTTAAATGTGCTGTATGGCAGATAGGTTCTAGTCTGTAATGTCTTGTATCACCTCCACCACTCTGCTTTTGATGGTACTCCTGTGACTCGTAATTGTCACTGTTTTGTTGTGTTACAGACAGGATCTGTTGAAGAAGAGGCTGGCTCAAGATTTCCCTCAGCTAGCGTTTCACATGCCCACCAAGCGCAACGTCTGCGAACTGGTTTTTGCTGAGACTCTGTCAAAGGATGCACTCGTGGACATGCTACCAGATCCATCCGGTACGGAAACAACACAGTCCAGTGAATTGAGCCAGACAGACAGCGACAATGAAACAGGGAGAACAAAGTGCCAAACAACACATGAGGACACAAGGACACTGTATACAGCAGCGTTGTTTTTGAAAAGACTGCTTAGTGACACTCCTGGCATGTCATGCCCATGGCCTCCCACTTCTGAAAATGTAAATGTCACTGAATCTCAAACTGTTGTCCCCATTGGACTATACAATCTGCTCAGCTGGATTATAGGTTCCACTGAGGAGCCAACACTGGATCATTATGTCAACATTGATGATGACGTACATTTGAAAGTGTTGTCTGTTTGTCAAGACATTGTGTACCTTGCTTCCAAGGGCCGCAAGCAGACACCCAAGTCCTTGGCTTTAGGTTTAACTGTTCGACATTTAACTGGATCATCACGCATTGCATCACTGCTTAACAGACTGGGACATTGTGCATCATGGGACACAGTTTTGAGTCTAGACACTAGCCTTGCCCAACTGACACTAGTAGAAGTGTCACATCACTCATAGATACGTTTGTTTTTGGTACTAGAACAGAGTATAATCAGCAGGACTCTTTTAACCAGCTGAGGCAATCACAGCACCAATCAGCTGCTCCGCCCAGCCTGACACCAATCAATTATACTACATTACATGTCCTTCTACTGTTTTCTATGTCATACCTTTTATATTTGTAATAAATCTCGTTTTTATGGTTCATCAGTGTTGTTTTCATTTGTGGAGGGATGAATGAGTAAATAAATGAATCAATGGACATTGGTATAAGTAAGGCAAGGCAAGTTTATTTATATAGCACTTTTCAACACAAGGCAATTCAAAGTGTTTTACAAAAAATTAAAGACATTAAGAAAATGGCATTTAAAATCAGTCATTCAAAAGAAAAGCTAATAAAATAAACATTAAAAGAAAAAATACATGGATAAAAGTTACAGTGCAGTCTAAGATATGAATAGTTCAATTAAAAGCAGCAACAAAAAGAAAAGTCTTCAGCCTGGAAGTACTGCATTTTATTGATCTAAATTACTTAACGTAACAAGTTAACCTTCTTCTTGGACGCAGAAATCAAGTCATGTTTATTTTAAGAGTGCATTTAACGTGTACAGGGTAACAACAGACAGACAAAAAGTCCTCAGTCTAATGGAATAATCCCAATGAACCTAGCGATGTGAACATGGCAGTCCAGGAATGATAGTTTGATAAATATGAGTTTGATATACTTTATTAATCCCCGTGGGGAAATTGTTTGTAGCTGGAGTTGGCTGATAAACGCTGCTAGTCAATGTTGATTCGATGGTCAACTCTGTTCCCAGATAGTAAAACCTCTCACAAATACCGCGTATATAACGCAAATACCTCGGACTTAGTGATGTATTAAGACATATGACAAAACATGACATAAAACAAGCATACAGCACTGTTTAGAATCCATTTGGTCTGGTTTAGCGTAACCATGGCGGCCGCCATCTTTCACTTCTGTTGACAATATGCAGCTACCCAATTGGTGTAGCACGATCACGTGACGAACCGTGGCACGACTTTGGACCAAGATATTATTACGCTTCGAAGGGACTAGTTCAGCCAATAATTACGTGCCTAGAAGAATTGGCAGGAATTTTAGCGACGATATTTTTTTTGGTGGATAAGCATGACTCGTTCTTTTTTATGAACTAAAGATTGTGTAGTTTCACTTCTGTGGAGCGGGATGAAACGATAACAGGGTTCACCTTATGGCCTATATGATCATACAAGATTACTCTTCGTCGGATGATGAAGATCTCCTCCAGCCAGACCTGGATCCGGACAGTAGTGACTCGGATGTTGAACTTCCACCACGGGAAAGGTATGTAATCTCTCTGTTTTTATATATTACTTATGTGTTTGGTGGAACTGCGTCCAGTGCTGGAATTGGGCCGGTACTCACCGGTACGCAGTACCGGCACTTCTGGTTCTGACCCATGGAGTACCGGCACTTCTTGCTCAGTACCGGCATGCTGGCGGTACTCCGGTACTCATACACCGTGCCAGTACTCAACACTCTCCCGCCGTTCTTATTATACATCCATATATATATATACAGCCGCCCGGTACTCAGTAGATGCGTCATGAGGTGCCGAACGGACATTCTCATCGCTCTAACCGCTGGAGTTTCACAGCGGCTGTCAGCTGTTTACTCCTGTCATTCAAACAGAACGTGCTGGAGAGGGGGCGGGGCTTATCTTCTCCATGTAAATACTGTGGTGGAAACGACTGTCAAAATTAACCTATTTGACCGTGATTTAATAGTAATACACGTTTCAAAATAATAATAATAATAATAATGCCGAAGTAACAACATACTGAAAACTGTTAGTAAAACCATGTTTTAATGCTTTACAATTTACATACCTAGATGCACGTGTGTTGTGTTTATGCAGTGCAACTCCCACCCAGTGGGTGGCTATGTAGAGTGATAGAACAGAGCAGGCACGCCCCCGAGAGAAGGAAAGCAAGTCACGTCACAAATTAGCATTTCTAAAATGTTAGCGTGGATTAATAAAAGTGCAAAAAGACAGCGGTTGTCGCCGGAAGAAACTTCAAATACAGAGAATGCTGTGCCTGTGTTGGAAATTGTGTCTGATGGGGAGCTTTCTTTGGTTGATCCTCCTGCTCCAAGTTCTAGTGCATTAGCATTAGCACTAGCTCCGCCGCCTCCTCCAGAGCCTCTAACGTTAGCTGCTGCTGGCGCAACTGCCACCACCAACACCGGGCAAAGCGATGCACCTGACTGCTGGACAACGGACCAGGTGCAATATTTTTGCAAGACCAATGCATGGCTCCTTCTTAAAGATAAGAAGCTAGGATGTCGGATATGCAGAGATGTCAAATCTTTGGGAATACACACTGGACAAGGACTGAAACTGTCAACTGAATGGGGTGAGTGTGCAGTGTCTCATTTCGGTGTTGACAAGGGCAAACAACAAGCTAGCCTGAGAAAAAAAAATCAAAGAACATAAAGAATCACAAGCCCATGTAAAAGCTGCTGACATCCTTACATCTGCTTCACGTGAAACTATTCAACATCAAGTGCAGTCTATGCATAAATCTGAATTAGACACCACTATCAGAGTTTTTCGAACGGCATATAAAATTGGCAAACATAGCCGGCCATTCACAGACATGCCAATTGATTTGAATGTACAGAAACTGAATGGGCTGAACGTGGGCAGGGTTTTGCACTCCAATAAAACCTGTGGCGAAATCATCGACCACATAGCTCATGAGCTGAAGAAAAAAATGGCAGAAGACATTACATAAAACCAAAGAAAACTCTGTGTTTTGGTCGATGAATCTACCACTATTAGTGGTAAAACGGTGCTTGTTGTGGGTCTACGCTCAGCATTAGCTGATGCTGAGCCCGAAACGTTTTTTTGGGAGCTGATCGAGTTGGATGGAACAACGGCTGATGACATCACAAAGGCGTTAATGGAGTGTCTTGGAAGAGATTTTAACGAGGACTTTTTAGGTCAGTGTTTCGTTTCTTTTGCATGTGATGGGGCTTCAGTCATGCTAGGGAAGAGAACAGGCGTTGCTACCCAGTTGTGTAGTAAATTCCCAAGCCTGTTTGTGTGGCACTGCTCCAATCATCGTCTAGAGCTGGCAGTTGGGGATGTGGTCAAGGAGGTCTCAGGGCTCTATCATTTCCTGATTTTTTTTGACAAACTCTATTCCTTGTTCCATGCCGCTCCCAAAAATCAGAGGCAGTTAGCGCAGTGTGCGCAAGCAGTCGGACAGCGTCTCCTGGTGATAGGGCGTGTTTTGTCCATCCGCTGGGTGGCTTCAAGTGAAAGGAGCGTCAGAGCAGTCTGGGAAAACTACCGAGTGCTTCATGATCACTTCACAAATGCTGCAAACGACACGAGCAGGGATTCCAGAGACAGAGCAAAGTACAAGGGCCCGGATGATGTGCTCACATCTGCAACGTTTGTCAGCAATCTGGGACTGATGTACGATGCGCTCACAGAGCTCAGCGACCTCTCTCGGCAACTCCAAAAAAGAGAGATGACACTGCCTACAGCAGATAGGCTCTTAACTCGAGAAATACGAGTTTTTTGAATCCATGGTCACCATGCCTGGCCCACACATGACTACAGTTCATACAGCTCTAGCTGAGAAGTCCTTCAAGGGTGTTGCCCTGCGTGAGAATGGCAGGCTTGTACAGATTCATGCAGGTCAGTTTTTCCGCAGTATGGTAGAGAATCTGAGACACAGAATGACTTCCACAACCTCCTCTCATGTCAGCACAAGAGAAATCCCATTACATGGCCGGGAGGCCCGGGACAATCAGCTAATCCAGGACATGAAAGTTATCCATCCTGGAAGTTGGCCTGAAGAGGAGTTAGACGTACAGTACGGGGACGTAGAGGTGCTACGTTTGTGCGAAGTGCTGAAAGTGGACAGAAGAGAGACTGTTCAGGGCTTTCGCGAATACAAGGAAACCAGGGCATCCCGTACACCTGCTGCCATGGAGCCTCTACTGAAAGCAGTCCGAACCATCGCTGTCTCCACTAGTGAGTGTGAGCGGGCATTCAGCTGCATGAACGATATCCTTACTGCAAAAAGGAATGCTCTCTCTGTCAGCCGACTGTCCAGCCTGGTTTTCATTAAATGTAATGGACCATCACTAGGACAGTTCAATCCGGAACAGTATGTGAGGTCCTGGCTGGCAAAGGGAAGGAGAAGTGCTGATGAAAGAGCCTGTCCAGCTCCAGCCCCTGATACTGATGTCCCCAAGGCCTTCTGGAGCCTTTTCTAACAATGTGAAGTATATTGCAAAGCAGCTCACCCAGTGAGAAGACTTTTGGCATAATGTGCAGATTTGTACAGATCCTGGAGATAGAAGGACTTCAGACCAACCAGGGAGTTATCTGATCAGCTTGGTGTTCAATGTAACTCTTTACCATGGCTCAGACTTTGTTACTTGCAGTTACAGTTTTAGATTGTGCAAATTTTGCATTTGTTTTTACATGTTCTTTGTTCATGCTCTTTATCATTTTTCTGAGTTGGAAAGTTAGATTGCATCATAGTTTACTTTATACATATTTGTATTCTTCAGTGGTGAAGTATATTGCAAAGCAGCTCAGCCATGTGAGAAGACTTTTGGCACTTTTTTGTTTTTCGTTTTCTGAGTTGGAAAGTTAGATTGCATTCAAAATGTACAGAAATACTTAATTTTGTTAAAGCTTTTTATAAAAAATGCTTCTGACCAGAGCTTTGTTTCCTTGTCATTAATGTTGAACACCACCAGAGGGGCTCTCACCTGAAAGGTCTCTGCTTCATGTGTCTTCAGCAGAAGATCTAGACTTTGATTGCTATATTTTCAGTTAATATTGACCTTACTGAGCTTTAGCCATATCCGCTGCCTATCATAAAAAATGTTAAGTACAGTGAACCTTTCTAAAATATACAGTAGTAAAGAGACAAACCCACCAGCATTATAGTAGCCAAATTCTTGTTTGTGGGCTGTATATATAAAATTGACTTGAAAAAGTTGCTGATTTTAGAGTACTGGCACCTTTTTCATTCCAATTCAAGCACTGACTGCGTCACAGTGCTAGCTTAGCCAAGAAGCTACAAGAATGATTAGGCAAAATGCTAAATAGTGTTACTTGTCTTTTTGGAGTTACATTTTCTAAATGAGTGGCCAGTGAATGAATATATACATGTGTTTACTTATTTATTTGTTGTAATATTATTCATTTATAGTCCAATATTATCCTTTTTTATATATTACTTTTGTGTTTGGTGGAACTGCATCACAGTGTTAGCTTAGCCAAGAAGCTACAGGAATGATTAGGCAAAATGCTAAATAGTGTTATTTGGCTCCATAGGAACACTTTGATGCACATTCAGTACCAGTCTGTGAGGTTGTGGTTGCGATGCCGATATCCGGACGCGTACAGCGAGGACTACAACATGACAATGAGGTGACTGGGGATGTCTGTTCAAAACATTGCAAACGTTAATAAATCATTTCAAATATGTATTTGGCTCCGACTTTCATTTGTACATCGTTGTTAATGTGATGTTTAGTAGCTTTAATAGCTGTCCATACCTCCAGACAGCCTAAAAGTAAGACACAAGTTGTTTACTCACAGCCCGAATGCAGCATCGAGATCCGTGGCCAGCTGTGATCCTCTCCGATTAACTTGTGACAGGACTTAATTCTGTAGCTATTCTCCAGCGAGCAAGGTTTTTATTAAATACCTCCATCCCTCTCATCACAACAAGACTCTACACTGTACAGAAAAAAACAACATAAATGAAAATAACCTTGCTGGATAGCTTAGAATGAAACAAACAAACTATCTGAGAAGGTCAAATAGTAGAAGTACGGCAGTGCAATAGTCAAGCAGAAATAGAGTCATAACCTAAAGAAATACATGAATATGCAGTCGGACAGCAAAAATAACACAACAATACAGTGAGTACACAACAGAAAAATTTAAAGAACCAGTAACTACAATTCATTGTCTGACCTGTACACTCTTTATTTACTCAAATATCACAAACAAATGTGCTTATAGTGTTTTCCAGTTTCTCAAAGGCATCTCTACTGTAGTTATATTCAGCCGTGTGATGGTCAGTTGAGTGTGGGTCTCCTGCAGGACGGCTCTGGGGGGTCTTAGTGCTGCAGGGAGAGGACACACATGTCAGAATAGATCCCACACAGTTTTACTGATGTGGTGCTTTAAAGGCAGATTATGTGGCACAATGTTGGACCATTATTCATAAAACACATTTCTCAAACATCAATTTGTCCTATAGGTTTAACTGATTTTATGTCGTAAATAAGACTTTCTGTCAAAAATATTTTTAGAAATTATAATACAGTGCACCAACATGTCCTCCAAACTGTTTATGTTTTGAGGATAAGAAAATCAGATACAACATAAGTATCAGGCTAACAATGCTTTATCTGACTTCATTATCCTCAAAAACATAAAAAGTGACTTTGAAGGATAATGAATGGGATCTGAGAAATATGTCAGCAACCAACTGACCTTTTCTAGTATTTTTTAACATCAACTAACTTCAGATGTGACTTTATATAATGAAATCTGTTTGTGAAGATTGTGAGACCAATCCAATGTGACTAACATGGTAATGTTCAAATGTTCAAAGCTTGCTCAACTGTTATTGGAGCAAAGAGTGGAAGCAGTAAGTAACACACTTTACAGTGAACTAGATCAGTTAGTTACTAAATCACAGATTTACTTTTGTACCTTAAAATCCCAGATCACCATGGCTCCATCCAGACCCACACTGCTGTATTTCTCCACTTTGGCTTTCTCCCCAGACACAACACACAGCTGTCTGCAGAACACAACACATGCACACGTATTACAAAAGCAGAACTAATAGTGTTTAATGTTGTTGCAAAAAAACCTCAAAAACATTGATTTCTGGAGACACCTTAACATCAGTAACAGTTTGAAGTACAGCTGTATGTATTCTAAATTAGGTTGCTACTCCTGCATTAATGTGTTTAAATATTAATATCAAAAAATATATTTCAACAAAACCAGTTAAAAAAAACACATGGAATATTTAAAAACAAATAATTTTCTCGACAGGAAGAGGTATAACTATTTTACAAAAAAGATTGTCCCCAGAGTTCGAAACTAATAAATGCCTCGGGACAGAGCTTTTATGTAGCATATATAGAATCATGTAACATAATCATAACCCCTAGTCCTAGCAATTGAGCAACACTAGTAGGCTTTGTCTGACAAAAGGCCCGCAGTCTGCTGGGTCCAGAGCTACAGAATAGTTCCACTTCAGTCTAAACCTTCTCAGTTTGGGTTCTGTCTGTAGTTTAATGGAAAGCGTTGGCCCTTACGTGATGCTGTTCTGGTGAAGGGTCCCCACTTCGTTGGTGTCGTCGTCAGTGGCCCTCTTGTCCAGGTTCTGGAAGTGCTGCATGGCTGTCAGGCTGCCTTTGGAGGACTGCTTGGGGATGTCCAGCTTCTTCACAAACTCCAGAGCACCTGGACCCTTATAGCTGAACTGGTAGGGGCAACAGTCATGACCCTGACCAAATCACATAAGGATATGGAATCATACGAATGTTTAAGGGAAAATTAAGACTTCATGAACTTTAAATTATGTGTTTTTAACCAAGAAAAAGACAAAAGCATTGGGAATAGGGAAAGTTGTTTGTATATATTACAGTAATGCCACTATCACAACAATCACTTCAATAGTTCATTACCAAAACGGCTAACTAAAATTCCAAATGTTTCTTCCCTTCTATAAGGACGTAAAATATCAAAGCACAAAAAATATATATTATAAAAGGGTTTTTGTTGCTCTTTAAGAGCAATTTGGCAGTGGGGTTGTCCAGGATCAACGTGCTGCCCATTCTTCCAACAGGGGTTTTGAGCATGTTTTGGCTGTTTCCCATTGTGCTGCCATGGGAACCGGTTTGTGGCTGAATCTCTTGACCACCTCAGTGGGGGCCGTGTTGAGTTTGCCGATTGGACGTTTGTAGATTTCTGGCTCTATTTTCTGCCAACATTTGGACAGGTTGTTACAACATGGCAGAGCTGATGTAGAGTATCTTTGACATTTCTTTTGTAAAAAGCAGACTGGACTGGGACTAGTGTGACTTCAAATATATATGTAAATATGTAATATATTGACTGTTATGCTGTTTCTATTCACCTGTTTTGCTGGGCCCACCTTCTTAAATTGCTTCTCAAGTATCGGGGTTGCTGGAGATGTGGTATGGAGCTACAGGCGATATATTCAGTGTGAAGGTCGTATGTAACTGGTCATTTTGACATTGTTGTTTGTGCTCAGGTTGCTGTGGTTGGGTTAGTATGCCGGTGATCGATAGGGACACCGACTCTAATGGCACATTTCCACTGCAGCGGGGTAGCCCCGTTTAAGCGTCCCTAAGCGTCCTCACTCAGGCCTAGGGCTGCCTCGCTGGCCGTCCGAGGCTGTGGCGCATTTCCATTACAGTTTAGGACCTGGGGTAGCAACGCAATGTAGGCGGGGCGATCGGCTTCACATTTCGAGTTGTTCCGTCGAGCTCCTGCTGGAATTTATCATCCCCAATGAGATGTAGGAACGTCGTCACCTCCTCCGTCGACCACGGTGTGCTTTTCTTTGACGTTGCCATTTTTGTAGCTCCTCCGTTTACAAAATGCTGTGTATAAAAATGCTGCAAGCTTGCTTCTAGATATATATGCGACGCTAGGGATGATCTTGCGCGCGATCTTGTGACGATTCTCTCTGACCAATCAGCAGTCGAGAGTGTTGACGTCACTAGTTCAGCCCTGGCCTGATAGAACCACGATTTTATGGGGCCGGAAAAAGAGGGAAAAAGTACCCGCTAGCCGGGGCTACGCTATATGGAAAGGCCACCAAAAAACTGGCCTGGCCACTTGAAGACGATTAAGGACGCTTAAACGGGGCTACCCGCTGCAGTGGAAATGCGCCATTAGGCGACTTCAGCCTTACTCCTCCCAGTAGTGTGTTCCCTAACAATTGTCCTGTTTGCGAGGACCTGGTCGCTGCACTGCTCCAGAGTGTCTCAAGCTCTTTTTTTGCCGGCCTACTTCTTCCTTAGTACAGCTACCCGTTTTGTCATTAGTTCGGCATCATCTTTGGTTTGGCATACAACACTTTCCACGACACAAAAAACTCTTATGTTAGGATGCTGTTCATAGACTTTAGCTCAGTGTTCAACACCATCAACCCTGAGCAGCTGGTTTGTAAACCAACAGACCTGGGCCTCAGCCCCTTTCTCTGCAACTGGCTGCTGGACTTCCTCACTGCCAGACCCCAATCTGTACGGGTCGGCAACAACACATCAGACCCCATCACACTGAGTACAGGGGCCCCCCAAGGACGTGTGCTCAGCCCCCTGCTCTTCACCCTGCTGACCCACGACTGCACACCCACCCACAGCTCCAACCACTTCATTAAGTTTGCAGATGACACAACCGTGGTGGGTCTCAACAGCAACAACGACGAGACCCACTACAGGATGGAGGTGAACCAGCTGGCCACGTGGTGCATAGACAACAATCTCTTTCTCAATGTGGAGAAAACAAAGGAGATTGTTGTCGACTTTAGGAGATTGTTGTCGACTTCAGGAGAAACGACACCCAACACCCCCACCCACTGACCATTGGTGGTACTGCTGTGGAACAGGTGAGCTGCACCAAATTCTTGGGGGTGCACATCACAGATGACCTCTCCTGGACTAACAACACCACGTCAATCACCAAGATAGCCCAGCAGCACCTCTACTTCGTCCACAAACTGAAGAGAGCAGGATCCCCCCCCCATCATGCTCTTCTTCTACCGAGGCGACATCGAGAGCATCCTCAGCAGCTGCATCACGCGGTGGTTCGGAAGCTGTACAGCATCGAACCGCAAGACCCTGCTGAGAGGATCATCGGTGCCTCAGTCCCATCACTCCTGGACCTCTACAACACCCGCAGAGCATTAGCCACGTTCACACCGCGTACTTTGCAGCACTTAGTGCCCCGACACTTATTACCCCTGGGCACTAAGTACCAATCGCGTTCACACCGGAGTACTTTTCCCTGAGGGAAGATTACGCAAATGAAGCCGCTGACGTCACTTCTTCTTCTGCTTTGGGTTTACTGGCAGGCTGCAAACCACTTCACGGCGTTTACTGCCACCCAAAGTCCCCGGCCGGAAGTCCCCGGAGTTGGGGACTGGCTTCAGTAGAAGCTGCTGCTGGGACTCCCAGCAGCTTCTGCCACAAATACAATGGCGGCTTCACAAAACTCTTCAGAGTTTTACGGGGCGTGGTTTGCAATTCGCCCAGCCAATCAGAACTGGGGCACTTTTTCCCCCAGGATAGTACCACCTCTCAGCAGGCACTAAGAATGGGGGTAAAAGTTCCCGGCACTAAGTACTCTTTTTGGTGTGAACGCAACATAAGGGGTACTAACGGAACTAAAGGGGAAAAGTACGGGGAAAAGTACTCCCTACTATTGTGGGTGACCCCACCCAACCCTCCACCTGCCGCTTCACCCTCCTGCCTTCAGGGAGAAGGTTCCGCAGCCTGAGGTCGAGCACCACCAGACTAAAGAACAGTTTTTTCAACCAGGCTATCAGGAGGCTGAACTCTCCTCTCTCCCCATCTCCCACTGGACTTTAACACCCCCACACACTCAGACACTCAATTCCAGCACCAGACACTTTTTGTTTTACGCTTTTGTACATTCCCAAAGATATTGAAGTGACTGTTATTTTGTATATATTGATTGTTGTGTTTTTATCTTAATGTGTGCATACACTGTATGTATAAATGTGTTGATTGTGTATATATAGGATATACATATTTGTATATATATTTGCTTAATTGTATTTTTGTATTCGGGATTGTTGGAAACGTTATTTCGATCTCTCTGTATGTACATACAAACTGAAAGATTGACATTAAAGTTGACTTTGCACACACGCACACACACACACACACACACACACACAGGTAATAGTTACCGCAGCAACTAGCTCCGTGGGGCTGACGTACAGGACATCCAGCAGGGGCAGACGGTTGTTGGTTAGCATGGTAATCCTGGAGGTCAGAGACAGAGTGGTGGAGCTTGTCACTTTTTTTAAACACATTGCATCTGATTAAATGGTTCTTAATGGAGTTTTAGCCATTGAAAATCAGACAGAGGTTAACATTTGAAATTGTGGAATTTGCTCTGATGAGTTTGTAAAGAAGCAGATTTATGTTGGAATATGTTCTAGTCTAGACATAAAGTACCTGTTACAGAGTACCAAGTTTGTCACTTGATACTCTGTAACAGACTTTCTGTACGTTTAGCTGAATATTAGTATTAGCAGATGTACTCACTCTTTCCCCTGGGTGGCATCAGCCACAGTGATGCTGCTGTTGTGGGCCGTCCAGGCCAGCTGGTCTCCGCTGGGGGAGAAGGTGACGCCATGCACCCAGCCTCCACAGTCCTTATGCTCTAACAGCACCTCTCCAAACGGCATCTTGGCCCCCCAGGCAGTGGGCCCAGGCTTGTCCTCAATGTCCTTGATGTAGGTTGACAACACCCTGAGAAGTGTGCAGACTGTTATTGTCAGCTGCGGTCAAAGGCTGGTTTGCTTATAAAGTACTGTCAGACCTCCTGCTCAGGCAGATCTATTTATATTGTTTGATATCATTGAAATATTAATGGGGATTGTCCACAGTATTGAGTATGTAAGTCGCTTTGGATAAAAGCGTCTAACAAGTGACATGTTGTTACGAACTTGGATACTCAAATGTAAGGACTCAAATGCACGACCCGGGAGCTAGAGGTAAAGTATAATTAATATACTTTATTTCTTCCACAAAATATATACAAAAGAAAAACACTCTTACGAGGTGACAAAAAAGGGTCCAAAAAGATACAACAAAATATCGCTCACAACATGAGGAATTAAACTTTCAATAAGTTTCAGAAGCATAACGTAGGTTTGACAAAAGAAGCAATCGCCGACGAGCAGAGTACTGGCATGAGTACAAGACAAGACGAACTGACACTGAACACTGGGAGACTGGGGAATTTAAACACTCAACAACAAGACACAGGTGAAAACAATCAGGGGCGGGGCTGACACTGATGAAGGCGGGAGAACACATAAGGAAAGGGAGTCAAGGAACCTGAAATGAGACGTGACAAAAACAAAACAGGAAGTGAAAAACAATACAACATAAACATGAAACATGACTGACTAACACTTTTGACGGTGCACAACACATGTAATGTAATGTCTTGGAAAAGCTGAGAGTTAACGATATGCTGATTTTATACAATTCTGGAGCTGTCTTTTTCTGCCATGGTCTTAATTGAACCTAAAAAAGGGAAAATATTTTTTTTTAAAAAGAAATATCAAAGATATTATTAAATACTCTTGTAACAAAGGCTACCACTACCTGCCTGCTTCTGGAAGACGTCCGGTTGCAGGAAATTAAAATAGATAATATAAGATCAGCAAGGGGAAAGGACAAACACAGTCTGTTAGCAACTGCTGTAAACATAAAGCTCCTTATACTAAGATGAGTTAAATGCAGAGTGTAAATGTTACTGAGTGTTTTGCACTGTGAATGTGTGAAGATTTAAAGTTGGTCTGACTTGCATCCTCAAATTCCAAATGGGATCAAAGAGTGCTTTTATTGTTATCTTGTTTATGTCATCGTTGCCCGAGCATATTTGGATTTGTTTTGAATGATTTATTTGAAATTGAGTGTTTACTGTTCAAGCTAGTTATTATTGTGGTGGTTCTTAAGGTATCTGATGGTAGAACTAAGACTCCAGTATCAGAGCACTGGTGGGGGTGTCACCTGCAGTGGAAGTCTGCAGAGCCAGCAGCCAGCAGGATGTTGTTGGGGTGCCAGTCCAGACTCAGGACTGTGGAGCGAATGGACTTCTTGATATGCTTACTCAGCCACCTGAAAGGGAAGGAGAATGATGACAACCTGTAAACTAAATTATTGGCAAACATCAAGGCAATACATGTATCAAGGAAGAGGTCAGAGATATATGAACATTTGTTGTGTTTTTCTATTTGTTTCTGTAGGTTTCTGGATGTGACAGTACAGTAATTGTTTGACTTTTTTGTATCCTTTTTCTTAACTTATTGACAGATATCCCTTTTCATGAGATCAGACACTACTGCGGTAAATCATCTTGATCCTCAAAATCAATATAATCTCAAGTCTCTGGAAGAGGTGGAGAAGTACTCAGATATTGTACTTGAGTAAAAGTAGAAGTACCACAGTGTAGGAATACTACTGTTACAAGTAAAAGTCCTGCAATCACAATATTACTCAAGTGAAAGTAGAAAAGTATTCTCATCAAAATATAGTGAAAGTAGCTAAGACAGTAAAAGTAGTCATTGTGCAGATTGGTCCATTTCAGAATAATAGATATGATATGTTTTATAATGATTGATCATGAAAGTGTTCTCAAAGCTGGTGAAGGTGCAGCTAGTTTGAATGACTTTGTATACTGCAGGGTAGCTGGTGGATTTACTCCAGGTGGAACTAAAGTCTGATTCAACACTTGATTATATTTCACATCATTAATCCACATCTGTGAAGTAACTAAAGGTATTAAATACATGTAGTGGAGTAGAAGTACACCATGTACCTCAGAACTGTAGTGGAGTAGAAGTACACAGTACCAAAAAATTACGGTAGCTCAAAATTGTGCTTACAAGTACTTGAGTAAATGTACTTAATTACTTCCCACCTCTGGTCTCTGATCATGGTGAATTGGTCATGTGTTGCTCACCAGTCGTTCTCCTTCTCGAAGTAGCAGACGGAGATGAGGCGCGCTCCGCTGCCCAGGGCGAACTTGTTCTCCAGCGGGGACCACCTCACACAGGTGGCTGCACGGTTGATGCGCACCAGCACCAGGGTGGGCTTCCACACGCCGTCCTTTAGGGTCCACACGTAGGCGTTGCGGTCAGAGGCACATGTCACAATGCGGTTGGATTCTGGGGCCCAGTCAATGCCTGTGGACATTATTCTGAAGCTCCATTCAAGTGTCAAAGCATACATTATGCAATGCTTTCTTTCTAATCATGAATTTAACTTAATGTCATCAACAGTTTTTTATTATTCAGACACCCTAAAATCAAATGTGCTTCCTTAATTGTGGATATCAATACCAACATGTACAGTAGTCAAATAATTACATTAGAATTTAAGTTTCTCTTATTGGCTGCCCAAACTCTCATGTTTTAAACTGAGGGAATGACCATGCTGTGTTTCACGGTATAAACGAATACAAGCACCAGAACCCCTTCCAATGTTTTCTCTTGTAATATGAATTCATTATCATTTTCCTCAGACTAGTTTTTCTTAAATATAACGGTGTGATGCCAATAAATGTTCTAGCCTATCAAATCATTATTCCCAAGTAAAAGAATAAACTTTCAGTTCCAAATTCTTATCACATTAAATAAAAATACATTTGTATACATCTCGTATTATCTCTCTCAAATGAATGTTCATATAAATTCATATCGCATCAATCCTTGTGTGTTAAAACAGAAACATACGAGTCGTAGGAGAATGGCAAGGGGCAAATGTCCAGCTGCACCTTTACCCCCGGCCTCGTCACTGTTGGAGGAGGGATACAGTACCTGTGATCCGCCCACTGTGCTCAGTCAGCTCGTGGATCTTGGCCCATTCATTGCCTTTCTTTTCATAGATGTCCACCACATTGTTGTTAGGACTCACTGCAATCTCTGTAAATAAATATGTATACCCAAATGTTAGGCTTTTGAAATGTGAGGATACTAATACAAAAACACTGGGGTAGTAAATATGACATCGTTTTTATTTAAAGGTGGGGTAGGTAAGTTTGAGAAACCGGCTCGAGATACACTTTTTGTTATATTCCATGGAATGCTCTTAACATCCCGATAGCAATGAATATCTTAAGTGCTTTGACAAAAAATCCATAAAAAAATGTTATTTGTGGAAGCCGTAGCGCTGTAAAAAGCACGACCAATCATCTGAGCCGGCCCGGGTAAAGTAACTGGATGGCCTACAGTACCTGCCTGTCAGCCTTCCGTCTGTGCACAAACTTATCTCGTGCCCTCATTGGTCATGTGCGCGTTCGTGTGTTGGAGGAGGGGCTCTGTAAGGAAGTGGCAGATTTTCTCCGGCTGTGTATTTTCAAATTCTAGCGCACTCGAGCTGGTTTTTCCAAAATGACCTACCCCACCTTTAAGGAGAATGAATGTGCATTGTGATGACCCATATTCAGGGTGACAAAATTGACAAAACAGGGTTCATCTTATGTTTAATACACAGATATGCCATGTCATTTAGCCATTCATTATTATTTTTGCAATAGTGGAAATGTCACATCCTCTGAGGAGCATGACAATGTCATGGTAATATGCCCAGTTAGATTTTCAATCAATCGTTTCATTTATTTTTTAGAAAACCTAATATGACATTTGTGTCAAGGGTCTTTATGTTGTGGACAGCATACGGCACCTTTAGAGGATTTAATACCTACAGAAGCAAATTTAAATTCACAGTTTTCATTTGTGATTATTCTTAAAAACGCCTGAAAGGTAAAAGATTAATCCTCTGGGGAAAATGAAGTACTCAGCGATTTTGCATAGATACTGCACATTACATTTTGATTCTTAATGGGTACAGGCCTATAGCTTGTCCTGATAATTCCACCAGAGGAAAGTTCACATCCAGAGAAATCCTCAGTATGGGGACCATGATCATTTGTAGGCGTGCAGAGAGAAAATGGAAAAAGGATAAACTTCATGTCTCCTTAGAAATTCTTCGCGCTTGCCTTTCCGATTATCAGATGGCAGTCAAAGCAGCCAAAACAGAGTATATTTCTCTGTTAATCTCCAAAAACAGCCATAAACCTCAAGTTCTTTTTAATGTCCTCAATTCGATCATTAATCCCTGTGATGCTTCTCCAATTGTGCCATCAACTACTCTCTGCCATACATTTCTTCGAAAAAGTATCTGCTCTTAGGCTAGCCTATACTAGTGCTACCCCAGATCCTGCTCCCTTTCTGTGCCCCTGCTGTCCTCGACCACTTTGAGCCTGTATACCCTCTCTTCTCTCTCGGAAGTAGTCAAGCACCTGCGGCCGACAAACTGTATCTTAGACAGCATTCCCTCTCGCTTCCTTAGAGATGTTTTTGAATCAGTTGGAGCAAGTGTTTTATTGCTTGTAAACACCTCTCTTAGCTCAGGATGTGTCCCAGCTGCCTTCAAACATGCCGTGGTTAAGCCACTACTTAAAAAGAAAAATCTCGATCCCTCCATTCTCGCAAATTTCAGGCCCATCTCCCAGCTACCCTTTTTATCTAAAGCCTTGGAGCGAGTAGTCTACGCCCAGCTGCAGTCGTTCTTAACCACGCATGGCATCCACGAAAAATTTCAGTCTGGCTTTAAACCTATGCATAGCACTGAAACAGCCCTTTTAAGAGTTTTTAATGATCTGCTCTTAGCCGCCGATTCAGGCAGCCCAGCTGTCTTGGTGCTGTTAGACCTGACAGCTGCCTTTGACACTGTGGACCATAGCATCCTGTTGTCACGGCTTGAACAGTCCGCAGGTATTACAGGCTCTGCTCTTGCATGGTTTTGGTCTTACCTGACGGACCGTAGCTTCTCAGTGCAGTTAGGTGCCTTCTCCTCTGCCAAAGCCCCTCTTACTTGTGGGGTTCCCCAAGGCTCGATTCTGGGCCCCATCCTTTTCCTATTGTATATACTGCCCCTAGGTTAAATTCTCACAAAACATAATATCCCCTTCCATTGTTACGCTGATGATGTACAGATTTATCTGCCTCTCAATCAAAATGCCAACTCATTACAGCAGTTGAAGGACTGCTTAATGGAGATTAAATCCTGGCTGAGCCAAAACGTCCTCACCCTCAGCGAGAGCAAGACCGAGGTCATATTTTTTGGACCCCGACCTCCAGCCTCTCCGGTTGATATTCTGGGCTCCCTCAATAAAAATATCCTCCCCTCTGTCATGAACCTTGGAGTGACCTTCAACAGCGCCTTTCAATTTGATAAGCAGGTTAGCACTGTAGTCAAGACCTGCTTTTTCAAAATACGACTATTGGCTAAGACCAAGTCGTTTTTATCTTTTAAAGACCTAGAAAGGGTTATTAACGCCTTTGTTACCTCGAGACTGGATTACTGCAATAATCTGTATGTGGGTATGGACCAGGCCTGAATTAGACGCCTCCAGCTAGTTCAGAATGCAGCTGCACGTCTTCTTACTGGCCATAAAAGCATGACCATATCACCCCAATTCTGGATTCATTGCACTGGCTTCCAGTTCGGTTCAGAATCGATTTTAAAACTCCTTTTATTTGTTTTCAAGCCCTAAATGGGCTGGCTCCTGCCTATATAGCCGAACTCCTCCATCGCTACACCCCAGGCAGAGCCTTAAAGTCGGCTGATCAGCTGCTGTTGATAGTGCCTAAGACCAGGCTTAAAACCCGAGGGCATCGAGCTTTCGCAGCGGCTGGCCCTAGGCTCTGGAATACTTTGCGAGGTCTACTATGTGAGGTCGGCCCAGACCCTGGGGGTTTTTTAATCAACACTTAAAACTCACTTTTTCTCTCTGGCTTTTGTTTAATTATTTATTTATTTAGTTATCCACAGAATTGATACTATTTTTTATATTATTAAATGTTATTAATATTATTGGGGTTTTATGGGGTTTCAGTTTTTTATGATTAGTAGGTTGGGGGCGGGGAGACCTTAGAGAAGGTTCTGACTGGACTGACTGGTTGCTACGTCTGGTTGCTTGGAGCTGAGTTGGTATAACCCTGAATTAGATTAGAACATTTTAGAAATATGAGGAATAACCTCTTGGTTTTATAAACCGTTTTGTAATTACTTCTTCATCCATTTTTGGATCTCTGCGGGGTTTTCTTTTAAAACCCTAAACCCCCCCTTGGGGTTGGTCCCTCCCCTCTCCCTCTGCGGATCTAAGGTCCGGTAGAGGGGGATGGGGCACAGAGTCGCTTATCCAGGCGGGGGAGTGCATCTGACGAAGAGATAGGTTGTTGTGCTCTCTATCTCTACTTCTTATCCTACATTTTCACCTGGACTAGAGGGGAAAGCGTTCTTGGACGCCTTTTCAGCTCTGTTTCTTACTATATTCTTCCTTACCCCGTTTACCCTTGAACTATTCTAGGAGAGTGTGTTGACGTTGACTCGTTGGGCCTTTCCTCCTGTACTTGTTTGTTCCCCAGTTCTTCCTTTAACTGAATCTAGGAGAGGGCATTTAGGCCTCTCTACTTCCTTCTTTTGATTAGTTTAGTTTTTCACCCCCTTTCCCTTGAACTCATTTACACGGGAGAGTGCATTTACGTAGTCACGTTGTGCCTCTCGGTTTATACTTTGACTTTCTGTCTCTTTGGAGAGTGCTAGTACGTTGGATACGTTGGGCCTTTTCACTGGTTGTCCCTCTCACTAGTATCCCATGTCCCCTCTTCATAATTTGGGTCTTCATAATTTCCACCCTATTCTAAGGGGAAGCATGATGGTGCCTTTTCATTTCAATTTCTGGCTTTGTGTTTCTTCACCTCTTACTGGTTTAATATTTAGGAGAGTGCATTTACGTAGTCACGTTCTGCCTCTCTTCCTCTGTTTCTGGCTGTTCTTTTCATACCCTTGTTTCTCAGAGAAGAGAAGAAATACTATTCTAAAAAGGAGCTGACACATGGTGTCTCTTCACTTGTACACTTGAGGGGTCAGAGTTCATATGGTGAGGGATTCCATGAGCGATATGCGCCGGCCTGTGCCTTTACCTTGGACTTCAAATAGAACTGCTCGGGTCTTGATAGATTGAGTGGGGAAGTTCATGAGATCTTTCTAGAGGGTTATCAAGAATAACTTTTATCCAATTACCTTTTCCCTCTCTGTCTGTGTCTGTGTATTCTCTTGTTCCGATTAACCCAGCCACATATTTTTTCTTGTTTTGTATCTATATCTACGCCGGGATCCGGAGTCGAGGCTGATCCTCTTGCTGTAGTCCTGTGTCTTGGATCCTCTATCCTGAGTTCTGGATTAAGTCGTGGACGTTTCGGGTCGTGGCTGAACCTGTCTCTGCGGTCCTGCCTTGGGTCTCGCCATGCTGCTTCCCTGATGGCTTCCACAGGATTGTAGCTGACATCCTCGTGGATTCATCTTCTTATTACAGACACATGCATTTCCTAACATTCGGTCTATATGCTGTGAAATGTATTATCTCTTCGATTTACACACGGCATCTATGGCACGTCTGTCCGTCCTGGGAGAGGGATCCCTCCTCTGTTGCTCTCCCTGAGGTTTCTCCCATTTTTTCCCCTTAAACTGTGGGTTTTCTCTGGAAGTTTTTCCTTGTACGATGTGAGGGTCTAAGGATAGAGGGTGTCGTTTTTCTCATACTGATATTCTGAACAATCTGTGCTGTTGTATTTGCTGTAAAGTGTCTCTACTGTAGGCTCATTTTATTATATGTACAGCACTTTGGCTCGACCAAAATCGTTTATAAATGTGCTATATAATAAAACTTGATTTGATTTGATCCATAAAGGAGTTGCATGAGGTTTGGCAATGTCTTTCAGTTAGTTGCTCCACTTCAAACCACACCACACACAGTGGCATAACAATGGACTCCAGTGAACACTATTACGGGCACTATAGAGCACGCACAAAAGCAAAAGCACACACACACGCACACACACACACACACACACACACACACACACACTACAAAGATGTAAAATATTATTTGACCAACTATGTGGAATGTATTGGCTACATATTACACAGATTATGCAGCAGCTATAACCATCAAATAATAATTAAAATACCACAAACATGATATTGATACATACAGATTATGCACATGATTTAGAAGATTTAGCGTTTAGAGAGAACAAATTCCGAGATACGTTTTTGCGCCATGTCAGTTACTTGTGTTGTTGTGCGTCACGTTAAAAGTAGCCGACTAAAAACTAACAAAAAACTTTTTTTTCCACATCTTTTTTATTTTTCTTCCCTGAAGCAAAATTATTTATTATATAGTTTTAAATTATCATTTGAATAATAATATATCATATAAAATATAATCTCAGGCACAATGAAATGAAATCAATATGTATAAAATAAAAATAAAATAAATGTGCAGGCAGGGGATCTCCGCTCAGCCTGCCTGACGTGCTGCAGCACCCTCAGCCCCCCCCCCCCCCTCAGCACCCCCCTTAGCCCTGCTTAAAGCGAGCTCCGTGCTGTAGTGGAAATGCGCCATAAGTCCCTCTCTGTTAGCCCGGAGTTCATATCTAATTAAATAATGAATGACAAATTACTGACATTATTTTAAGTTTCATTGCATTACTATCAAATGTAAGCTTATTCTACTTGCTGACTACCAACTGTAAGCATATAATACTTACATGTGTTAGTTAAGCAATGTGTCAATAATTTTAAGTTAAGTAACTTCACATTATTAAGTTTTAGTCATGTTCGCAATGCATTATGGGAAAGAGAAGGATATTTTTAATGTGCCGCAGCCACGCTTTCCAGCTCGCAATTTCTCAGTCGGACGCAACCCCACTTTGATTGAACGCCGGACTTGCACCCTTTCACCGCGCTGTCTACGCTTCCAAAGAAGGACGCTGCACGGCTGCCGTATCTACTGAATCTGGTGAGTGATTTAGCCTAACAGGGCTTGGTTGAATTCTCGTACTTTTGGGTGTAACACAGCCACAGGAAGTATCAACTGGCGGGAACACGGTGTGGGCTTCTCTCGCATTGTTTCAGTACTTGTTTAGAGGAAATAAAATGTTAACAGACTTTGACAGTTACAGGTAAATTCGAATTATGTTGCTGTTTATTTTCTGAATTAAAGTTCCATTCGTTGGTGCGCCGTGGAACGGACTTTTTATTTTGGCGGGAAGCATTACGATAATTTGTAAGTCAATTAAATCATTTAAAATCGATATTATGAATAATTTGTTTGTTTTTTTAGTATGTAGCCATGTAATAAGCGGTATAATGTGCTGCTAGGTGGTCATTAGGGGGGGGGAGAATCCCCGCAGTGTGATCATGGAGCCCGCGGAGGGATCTAGATCTTAATAGCGACCGCATTAAGTTTTCATTTGATTTACATCACTTAACTCCAGCACTTCTACGCTACTGCAGTCAGGCAATGTGTGTTTCCCTCGCTTTTGTTAACTTTTACTGAGCGATAGTAGGCTACGAGGTGCAGATAGTTTTAAACAAGATAGTGCTGTACTTTTTCACTTGTTCGTGTTCACTGAAGACGTAGATTTTTTTTTCACCCAGTTGCTGTTTTTGTCACCTTTCTTTTAGTCGTGTGAGTCGGACACCACCCCACATTAACGCCGGACGCTTCGAACCCTGCCACCACAGGCTGTCTCAGGCTTCCATCATAGGGAGAGGAGGGTGGCGCTTGGACGGCTGCTTTGTGCTACTACATCAGGTGAGACGCCATTTAGCTACCATTAGCGACCACATTACGTTATCAGATGTTGTTGATTAACGTCCCTTAAAGGTGGGGTATGTAATTTATTTCAGAAACACTTATTGTATATTCCATGGAATGCTCTTAACATCCCGATAGCAATGCATATATGAAATGCTTTGACAATACATACATACAAAATGTTCCTCTGTGGAAGCCGTAGCAATGTAAAAAGCACGACCAATCATTTTAGTCGGCCTGGCTAAAATAGCTGGATGGCCTACCTGCCTGTCAGCTGAGAGGGGTCTGCCTGCAGGCTCCACTCTCAGGACACCTCCACTCTCACGGAGGTGATGAGTCCGCTCACCATGCACTTTGGGGTCGGCCCTTGGGCAGGCCTTTTGAACCCCCCATCCTGGTTCTCGTAATAGTTGACTTAGCCATTTTTTGCTCAAACCATGAGGAATGTAACGGGAGTTAACAGGGGACTCTGCCCGCCTCATGAGTGCCTATTTTCGGACACTTTTTGTCACTTTTCCCCCTATTTTCCACCGGTTTTATTGATTTTTCTTTTTTTGGCTATTTCACCCGGTTCCTTCTAACGGGGACATAGCCCGGTCTCGGGTGTCGCCCCACGGCCTGTGTCCAGCCGTTCCCCCCCCCACTCATCCATATATTAACCGATTTTGACAATTCTTGTTGCATTTTTGTCCTCTCCTCTCACTGATCGAATGGCAAACGCGACCCACCATCGGAGGGCCTCCACCGGCCTAGTACCGGTGTCCTGGCGGTCGGTTCCTCCGAACTGCGGGTTCGACTCTGATGGCCGGAGGGTGTGCTGCGTCTCTTCCCGGGCCGGGCCGATATGAAATGACCAAGACGCATCGTCTGACTCGGGGACCACGGGTCCCGCAGCGGGGTGGAGGTTCCAGGCTGAAACCTCCCCAGGTTTGTTTGTCCTTTTGTGTTCTAAATGTAATGTTCATAAAATGTAGTTATATCCTCATACCTACTTAAATATCTGATTTTATTAAGATATTACTGTGAGAAGTGCACAGAGGCATCTTGAAAAATCAGATGGTGAAGCAAGCAAAAGCTGTCTAAATAAAAAAATGCACTTATTTGTTTCACCAAGGAGGATTTTATTTGACAGTTTTACATGGTTTGTTCTCTTTTGTGTTTCAGGTTTATTGCGAGTTCAACAGAGTGGTGGGGGAAAAATCTCAAGGACAACTCTTCGATGCACTTGACCGTTTCTCTCCGAGCCTGATGGACCTCTTCAGGAAGAAAGAAGAGGGTGTCACTGGCCAATTTCTGTCTGAGCTAAGTCAGACAAAGGTGGGTTTACTTAACATCTGTCTACCCAATCTCTTTCCTCTCTCCTTGTCCTCTTCTGTCCCTTTGACTTCCTCTCATCTCTTCTTTTCTCTCATTTGCTGCTCTTGTCCTGTCAATTTAATTGCATCTCTTCATGTGTCATTGTTTCCTCTTTTCCCTTGTTTGCTTTGCTCTCTTGTTTTGTTTCCTATTCTATTCTTTGGTCAAGAAGAAGTTATGTTCTCTCCCTTTTCTATTCTCTCCCATCATGTCATCTCCTTTTGTCCTCTCCTTTACTTTCAAGTATATTTGCAATAAAGTAATTGTGTAGAGTTTGTAGAATGTATTTGATTTTGATGAATATATGACCATTCTTTGTTATCTCCACTATATTCCAGACCACTGAGCCAACAGACATCAGATGCCTTTGTGTTCGGGGACTGCCAATCATCTTGAGGGATGAGCCTTCTGCCTTCTTCAAGACCTGCACCGTAAGTGACTTTAACCCTTGTGTTATGTTCACATTTTTGCACCCTTGGGTAAGTTTTGGGTGAATTGAACCCGGGACATTATTCAGTTTAAAAAAGTACGGAACTAAATTTAACTTACACTATTCCTTATATATATTTTCATTAACTAATTCACCAACAATATAAATGAAATATGATACGTTTTTTAAATATGTATGATGCTTTTCATTATAAACCGTGGAAGCTACTGGACGATGTAGAATTATATGTCAATCTCTTTATTTCTCCGTTAGGATGCGGCTGATAAGGAGGTGTACAGTCAAACTGCCGGAGAAAATCCTCAGCTCAACCCCATCCATTGTGGCAATCGTCTTGGAGGGGAAGTGGTGATTGGATGGACCGGCTAACCTGCCTCAGGCCTTCTGTGTCCTGTTCAGACTCATTATGCCCTGCAACTGAGTACCCAAAGTGCATGAAAACACTTCACTTTGTTCAGCAGGTGATGTTAAAACTTGGTAAAGTTGAGGCTGCACCCCAAAATTCAGACTTTGAAAAATCAGCTTACATTGTGAAACGGGGTTCTGAAAAGTTGGCTACTGTTACATATGGCAAGTATTTAGGCTTCCATATTGCATTTTTGTTGTTGTTGCATGTTTGCACTGTTTGACCTATTAAGCTTGTTGGCATTCCCATTTGTGTTTTATTCTATAAACTACTGACACATCTCTCCCAAAGTCATTTAGAGCATTTATTTGCAGAAAATTACAACTGGTCAGAATAACAGAGAAAAGGCTGTGTTTTCAAACCTCAAATAATGCAAAGAAAACAAGTTCTTCATTATTAAACAACACAATATAATGTTTGAACTTAGGAAGAGTTCAGAAATCAATCTTTGGTGGAATAACCCAGATGTTTCAATAACAGCTTTCAATGCGTCTTGGTTGCTCGCCACCAGTCTGTCACATTGTTGCTGGGTGACTTTATGTCTCTCCTGGCACACAAACTCAAGCAGCTCGGCTTTGTTTGATGGCTTGTGACCATCCATCTTCCTCTGGATCACATCCAGTGAGGTTCCAACTGTTCCATGACAGGGTCTTGATCTGGTCTTCCTCCATTCACACCTGAATTGAGCTGAGGGTGGGTTTATCCAGCAGGACAATGCTCCATGCCCCACAGCCAGGTCCATCCAGATGTGATCCAGAGGAATATGAATGGTCACAAGCCATCACTCAAAGCCAAGCTGCCTGAGTGTTTGTGCCAGGAGTGGCTTAATAAGTGACCCAACAGCGATGTGAAAGGTGTTGCAGAGCCAAGACGCATGAAAGCTGGGATTGAAAATCTGGGTTATTCCACCAATTACTGATTCCTCAGCCCTTCCTATGTTAAAACATTAGTATTGTGTTGTTGAAAAATGAATTTTAAATTGTTTTCTTTGCACTATTCGAGGTCTGAAAACACTCCATCTTTTTTGGTTACTTTGAACATTTGGTATTTTTTGTAAATAAACGCTCTAAATGAGAATATTTGGAGTTTGGGATAAATGTAGTCAGTCATTAATTTATAGAATAAAACACAAATGTTAATCCAGTTTTTACCAATAGTAAAACGAGAGGAACTGATCATTTTACAGAGGTCTCTTAATTGTTTCAGAGCTCTACATAAATATATAGATCTATATATCTATTTTATAGATATATATAGATATAACTATATATCTATAATATATAGAGAGATTGCTATTGCTTTCATGTGAAATATGTTCTCAGGAAAATGTATGGTACAATATTTTTTGCCACAGTTTGTATAGGAAGCTCAATTTCATTGTATCCAAATGAAACACTCAAGTTTTAATAAAAGGTAAAACTTTATTTTTGTGTCTTTTTTCTTTTTTGTAGTTGACGGAATAAAAAATATAAATACGAAATGTAACCACTTTCAACTAAAATTCTAAGTTAATAATTGGAAAAAAAACCAATTGATATTACACAATATTTTAAGTAAAATCAACTTCACATGAAGTACATTGTACTTCAAATAACAATTCTAGTCCTTGATTAATTTAAGTTTAATTTACTCAAGTTTTAATAATGCTTACTTAAATTTTTAAAGGCAACACTTGACTCAATTTTTTTAAGTAGATTCAACTTATCTGGGCTAACAGTGATAGACATCCTGCTGAATACACAGACACAGCTGAGGGAGGGGATTCAGCTAGCCGACTGTATATGGGGATGATAGGTTGGGACGTGGGCGGCACGTTGTCAGGAGTTCAACGTAAAGCCAGCCCACATTTCAGAAATGTCATCATGACCGCAGAAAATATGGATCAGCTCTGCTGTACCCCACGTTTTTATAGAGATGTGGGTAAGGAGGAAAAGAGAGAGGGTTTTATTTTCTGGCACTTTGTGAGTTTCCTTACACATTAGGGAGTAGGGACATATATTTATGTATAAAAGACATCAAAAAGTGCATTTTGCATAATAGGTGACCTTTATTGCTCATATGCTAACATCCTTAATTAAGATGGAAATATAACAACCACAAGTTAACATCAGTAGGAGCATGTTAGCTAGCACTTAGCTCAAAGCTGTGCTCAAACCTCACTGGCTGTGAGGCTGTAGGATTTAGTTGAGACATCAAAGACCAAAGTCCACCAACAAACCAAGTGACCAACTGCAAATAAAATAGTCTTGTTGCTTTTGTTTTCACGCTTTAGTTTCACAAAAATATATTGTTGGCAAACAGCAGCAGTGACCCTGGCTTTCTTGTTGAAATCAAATTACGGTAGGTCAAATTTAAAGTGTGTATAAAGTAATCTGCACTTCCGTGTGTAACTGTAATGCAAAGTAAACACCGAATAAGACATCCTGGAACTGAAGTGCAGTCAGATGCGTGCAGTAAGGCTCTTTGACTCCATTTCCTGCATAGATAATCAGATTCCCTGCGGTTCTCCAGACAACATTAATGAAATTAGATCAGGGAGAAAATGTATCTTCGCTCTACATTGTTAGTATGGTCCCGTCCCACCCACTAGTGCACCCATCATGGAAAAAGAACACAGAGGCATGTGTAACTGTGTTGCTGGTCACCTACGGGTTCTGTCTTTGTTCCAGGAGTGGCAGGAGAGTGGCTCCAGTCCAAAACTGTAGAGCGACATGTCTGAACAGAAGGAGGCCCTGGAATGTAGCACTGTTACTGCTGAGCTGCAGATGTGTTGCTGCAGGTCCCAGGATCAGATCAGGGAGGAAAGACAGATAATTAGTAGAGAAACATTTTTAGAGACAAAGCACCGCTCGTTTGTAGTATTTGGGTTGAGAAATAATGTGAGGAGTGAATTCTAAAGCAATAACAATAAAGTATACGTATAAGACTGTCATGCTCCTATTTAATCATAACACCTTAAATCCACCTGACTGGTATTGCTTACTTTGATACATCCACTTTACTGGCACTGAGTTCCCTGTCTGCAGCAACTGTGAGCTGCTAGTACTGACTGTAAGATAATGACACACCTTTACCAGGTGTGGTGCACACTGTTCAAACACTGTGACTGTAACGTCTGTATTATGTGCCCTAACAACTACTGGATCTTACAGGAAAGAAACTAAACTTGTGCATATAGTATGAGCACATTCCAAGTGTTAGTAGGGTATTTGTATTTGCCCTGCCTTGTCAAACAGATTGGGACATACTGTTTTCCTATCGATATGGACCAGATGGAATGCAAACAACAGTTTTACAAGTGATCAAAAACTGAGTGAGCTGATTAAATGTAATAAAACAAAATGTGATGTTATGACCTACTTTTGCTCTGTGGTCAGGTTCAGTTTGTGGGGCTGCTCAGAGGTGCAGGGCTGTGTTCGTGGACTCTGGGCAGTCGACACGAATGAAGCAGTGCGACTGGTGAAGGAAGTGACTGTGTTATTACAGGAGGGAGGGAGGGGAGAAAGGTGGGTGTGTCTGCTGATAGCTGTTGAGCAACAACCATCATGAGCAGGGGCCTGTACTACCAAGCTGGTTCAACCTAACCTGGATATGTTTGAGTTAGCCGGTTGGCCTAATCCAAAACAATCGCGCTCTCGCTAAACTGTACTACGACGCGGTTATCAAGTGGATCGCTCAAGCCAGCCGTGTCCTATCTAGTTAGGTGCGCGTTCACATGAAAGGGGTGGTATTTGGAGCATTCGACCAATCACAAACATGGAGAAGCATACTGAATGAAAAGTGTACTTTAATACTAGTCAAATATGAAGAAGTTAAACTTTAAACATTCATGATTTAAAACTTTATCCAGGATCAAAGCCACATAGTCTGCACCTACAAGGTGAATACAGCTGGTAACAGAAAAAGTGTTTGAATGCGTACATTAACAGGTTTATGATATCACTGCACGCCCGTCCAAGACACCATCTGACTTTCATTACATTTGACTCGAGTGTTTCGTCAACTTAATGTGTGCTTAAAATAATACTTCTGCATCCAGTCTGTGACACTGTGAGTGTTGCACGGCCAGATACGGCTCAGCTGACTCAGATAAGGAAATATATGATACATTATGAAGTGATATGACTGTAGGCCTACTTAATGTTACTCTGATCCGGTTACTTATGTTGTGGCAGATATTTAAGTAAGCTTTCTAACGCTAATGTTATAATAGTCAGATTGCTCTGAAGATGGAGGTGATATTCTATTAATGTTCACTTTCACACAGCCGGTGATTTTTGCCGGCCGTCTTTCCTGCAACGGCAGCTTTTCTGTATTTCCTTTCTCCTGTAATATGACTTGATCGCTAAAAACTCCGCACACTGAGCTCTGATTGGTCAGCAGGCGGTGCTTTCACTGAGTTGATCTCTTAGCCTGCAACCTAACCTGGTCCGGAGCAGGTTAGGTTGCAGGCTAAGAGCTCAACTCAGTGAAAGCACCACGCCTGGCTGCTGACCAATCAGAGCTCAGTGTGCGGAGGAAATACAGTTTAAACTGCCGTTGCAGGAAAGACAGCCGGCCAAAATCACCGACTGTGTGAACGTGAAAATGAATAGAACATCACCACCCATCTTCAGAGCAATCTGACTATTATAACTATACTATTATGTTAAGAAAGCTTAATTAAATATCTGCCACAACATAAGTAACCGGATCTAAAGTAACATTACGTAGCCTACAGTCAACGGCACTGTGAGTGCAGACGTCGATGTGTCCCATTATCATTCATATCACATCATAATGTATCATATATTTCCTTATCTGAGTCAGCTGAGCCGTATCTGGCCGTGCAACACTCACAGTGTCACATACTGTATGCAGAAGTATTATTTTAAGCAACGCATTAAGTTGACGAAACACTTGAGTCAAATGTAATTAAAGTCAGATCGTGTCTTAGACGGGGCAGTGATATAATAAACCTGTTAATGTACGCATTCAAACACTTGTTCTTTTACCAGCTGTATTCACCTTGCAGGTGCAGCTATGTGGCTTTGATCCTGGATAAAGTGTTTAAGTCATGTATGTTTAATGTTTAACTTCTTCATATGTCTAATATTATAGTTGACTTTGCATTCAGGAAGTATCACGCTGCGCTGTCAGTACGCTTCTCCATGTTTGTGATTGGTCGAATGCTCCAGATACCACCCCTTTTATGTGAACGCGCACCTAACTAGGTAGGACACGGCTGGCTTGAGCGAACGAGTTGATAGCCAGCGTTGTATGACAGTTTAGAGCGGCTTTGTTTTGGATTAAGTCAACCGGATAACTCAAAACATATCCAGGATAGGTTGAACTAGATTCCTAGTATACCCCCCAGGTTAGCCGCACAGCATAAGTTACTAGTGATGGCAAAATGAAGCTTTGAATGAAGCGTCGAACCACTTGGACAATTGTGTCGGAAATAGGTTCATTTCTCGAAGCTTCAGTTACAGCGACCTCTCCTGGCGAAGTGCAAGGCTGCAGTGGGTTTAACGTATCTTTGCCTTGAAAAATATTCGACGCACACACCCACTAAGACTGAATATCATGTTCTATTTGCAATTAAAGATTTATAATTGTGTGTATTGGGTTATTGAGAAGAGACTAGAGAGTGCTAGACATGTTTTCGGGCGGAGAGGGCCTTTTATCAGTTATTAAAGTTGAAAAGCAATGATTAAAATACGTCCATTCCAGGATTTGAACCAGCTGCGCGGAGGACATCGCCGCATTCGGGCCTCCGGCTGTACCCACTGGGCTATCTATTCCTTAAAATATTTAACTGTTTTTATATTACTGATAATTGTCTTTTTGTTCACAACTTCTCCACATTTCAAAGTGTTTCCCGAGCCAGAATGACCTATCTTTCTTCCTGGCTTGCTCTATAATGATATCAAATGCAATAACAACAACAACTCAACAGCAACAACGCAAACTACGACAACAACCCACACATTGTGCATTGTTTAGAGCGGTCATAAAGTGTTGAAGCACTCAAGTTTGAAACTGTTTCAACCTGTCACCTGTCAGAATCGAGACGAGGCAGTGCATTGAATCGCGTGAATGGACCGCAAACCAGTAGTGATTCATTCAGGAAATAAAGCAGTTGCTGCTTCGGACGTCACATGTCACGTGATTTGAAGCAGTTGCTGCTTCGGACGTCACATGTCACGTGATTTGAAGCAGTTGCTGCTTCGGACGTCATATGTCACGTGATTTGAAGCAAGCTTCGAAGCACTGCTTCTATGGAATAGGAAGTCCAGGGTTGAAGCTCCGTTCGAAGCTTCAGTGTCAAACTGCCATCACTATAAATTACCATAGAAATCTAGCCCGCTAAAAAGAGAACCAGGACCGGAAAGCCGGAGTTTTCCCTGAAGTTAGCCGGCTAAGCACAAATCCAGCTTCGTAGTACAGGCCTCAGAGGCCTGTAAAAACATACGCGCTCTCGCTAAACGGTACTACGACGCGGGTTATCAAGTGGATCGTTCAAGCCAGAAGAAGAAACAGGAGAAAAAATTAAATAAAAGTTAGGGCAGGAAAACAATAAATGCATATATATATATACGAAAACTAGATATAGGGTCATTTTCTGCACATGTCAATAGCAGTTTCAACTATCTTTTTTTGGAAATTAAAATACTATATATAAATATATACATAGGTACACATGTACTTGGCAAATGAATAAAATAATAATATATACATAATTGCATATAAACATTGTGAACACTTATTTTCAAGTGACTTTTTTACATTCATATGTTCACGCTGTGGTTTGGAACTGCTTTTGAATGTTATTAGGCATTTCTTATGGAAAATGTTGTGCATAATCAGTACTGTTTTAAGCTGTACTATCTCAACACATTTTAATAGATTGAGTTTTTTTTAAATATGGGAGTTGTGTGTTCATATTTACCAACACCACAGACTATTCGTAATACTTTTTTTTGGGATGTTATTATTTTTGTAGATTTGTTGAGTACGTGTTTCCCCATATTTCGGAGCAGTATAAAGGTAAGGGAGAAATAGACTGTTATAAAGAGTATATTTTCTTAGTATGATACAAAATACCTATTGTTTTTGACAGTTTAGTCTGTACATAATTTATATGGTGCTTCCAATTGAGTTTTTCGTCAACAAGCAGTCCTAAAAATGTACATGCACCAACTTTTTCTATCTCTGTATTGCAAATCCGTATAATGCAGTCATTTCTACTCTCAGACTTTATATTGAATAAATGTAATTTGTTTTGGCCACATTAAGGGATCATTTATTAACTGCAAACCAGTTACATAGTATTTTTAATTCTGCATTCACAATTTTAACAAGATGCCAAGATTATGATGGGAGCAGAGAATTCAAAGTTCAGGTTCAGCCTCAATATATTTGGGGAGAATTCAAATGAGCATCTTTATTTGTAGACAGCCAAGCCCCCTCCTGTGTTCGCAGTGGCGTTTTATATGTACAAAAGTGGTGGGCACAAAAAACGTAGATGTCTATATATAAGCTTGTGCAGTGAGGTTCATGGCTGGTGAGGCACTGGCACTGACTCTTCAGGTTTACAAATATTATATTTTGACCTAAATCAAAATATAATATTATTTTCAAAAGCTTTTTTTGTCTGATGCTTAGATTAATTTTAAACAGACAGTTCAACAAAAGGATACCCAACAAATGTAATTTTATCATTTAAATATTGAATTGTTCTCTCTTAGTAAGATCCCATTTTCAATAAAATTGCGGTCTTACCTTGACTTGAAGATGAAGTCCATTTGCCTATCCTTCTGGACAAAAATCTCTATTACTTTTTTGTAAAAGTCCTCCTTATCTTCTTGTAGTTTCAAAAGTCTATCATAAATCTAATCGATAGATTTATGATTAGAAAATTATAAAAGTAAGGTAGACATGTGGATATTATCCGGCTGACCAAAACGTGCATTTATCTAACAGGTACGTTTCCCACAGATCTTATTTCCAGCTATTTTCTAAAATCCTATGGAGAAATCTCATTGCTTTTTGTCGAGGGAAGCCATGCGCAGCTTACTTCCAGGTTTTAGGACGGTCTCTCTCCTCTCTTCACACACCACACTTTTCGCGGCACACGTACTTACAGTAAATCAGCTCTGAATTATGTGAGATGACGTATGGTGGGGATGGCAGCTCAGTGCCCCTATGGTCATTATTTTTTGCCACACACATTAAATAGGACAATACTCTGAGCATGCGCAGTGTAGTTTTTACAGTCACCGTTCACTTAGACAGTGAGAGGGAGGGGCATGATCGGGTTTTGTCCCACATGGCTCTAAACAGCTCAATAGGCACACACTGTAGACACTAATTAGAAGAACACAGACTAAAACAGCAATGTACAGACGAATCAGATGATCAACCATGATCTTAAAATATATTTTATATATTTTGTTATTTATTTTTAGCATTTTTTTGTAATCATTATTTGTAATACTTTCTGCTGACACTAGGTGGGGCTGTGCCTGCCCCTAATGACCAGTCGCCACTGTGTATTGTGTGTGAAGCATTATATGCTGACAAATCCAATGTAGGATATAAACACGACTAAACTGCAATGATAGCAAAGCTGTGGCTTGGGTTTTTGGGGTAATAAAGTCCAAATCATGGGTTGAGAGCCAACGATCACTTGAGGAAGATGAACAATGTAAATTAAACATTGTTGAGAAAATGCTGCATCTCTTGCATTTATTGACATAGAGGAGCCTTATTGTTTACCTTTTTAATATAATTTTTTGTAATTTTCAATTGCTTGGTTTTTTGAAATTAGCCTGTTTTCCTATTAACGTGTAACAGATTGATGCATCTCCACAGATCATCTTAAAGGCTTCAGAATCCCCCCATTGCAGTTAAAAAACTGTCAAAACTAGGGCCCCCAAACAGCATCTTGCATAGGGCCCCCAAAAAGCTAGAAACGGCCCTGCCTACACTGCCTACTATAGATACACACATATTGTTTCTGTTTGTTTTATACATATAATGCCCAGCATGGTCAGCTTAATTTGATACGGTAAAAGAGAGTTGCCGAAAATGTCAACCTTACGAAGGTGAAGAACAGCGGATGATTTGTTTGTTTTAACATCTATAAAGACCATCGTGTCATATATTAAAAATAACTAATCAAATCCGTGAGTGTTTCAAGATTTTAAAAACGGTAAACAAGTTGAAAGTTTGCAGTTTCCGTATAGCTTCTATGGATATCATTTGGACCGGTATATGTCATTTGTTGTTTAATAGAGATTTCTTAAAACAAATAACAAACTTATCCTCTTCTTTTCTTTAATTACAGGCAATGCTTTTATTGTGAAACGTCCAGGCGGAAGTGGTGGTTTCAAGAAGGAAAACAATCAGAACCACGTCATTTGATATTTGGTAAAGATGTTTTTATTGTTTGCTGTGTGAATAATGGCACACTGTCCTGCATGACTTAGTGTCAGCCTGGGTCGTGTTTCCGTCTGTTACCGTTCATTATTCACCTTGTTTTCAGACGAGGCTGTCGTGCTAACTGTTAGCTCGCTAAGCTAATGATTGTGGTCAGTATTTCAAGAAGGCTTATCATAAGAAATCATCTGGTGAAATAAGTCATTTTTCATGTGTGTTGCATTGCTAGAAGCTAACAGTGTAAATAGACCAGCCTCAGCTCTGCTAAATACTAAATAATACTGAGTGATTGTACTACAGCTATAGCTCAATGGCTGGTTGGGTAGCATAGCAGAGGTGGAAAAAGTACTTGGACCTTGTAATGAAGTAAAAGTAGAAGTACCAAAGTGTAGTACTAATACTCTGTTACAAGTGAAAGTCCAGGGCTGCAGTCGAATAGTCCATTTAGCTTAGGAACCTTCATAACGGAGTGAAATGACCCGGAAGTAGGGGCTGGGGGCTTTTGAGTGTGTAGACAATGTTTTCCAAAATTAGTGTCCATCTTCAATCTTACTACAGGTTAAGTTTTTAATGCCAACATTTTTTGTGGCTCGAAACCGTTCTGTATCAACACAAATTGATTCACTTTATACCTAACCTGCTTCCATAAAGAATTATTCTTCCATCACACACATCACACAAAGTCATTGAGAACATTTGTTTAGTTTTTTAGATAATCATCTTTATTGCTTTTATCACCCAGCAAGATGTGTCAGTGTAAAGTCATATTATGGTTCTTGTTACATGCCATCATAGTATGGCATGTTTCTCATTTGAAAGGCTTATGGGACTCATATTTCAGAGAAGCTGTGAAATAATGTTTAATAAGGTTTATCTTTTAGACATGAAAGGAAATGAAAGTAAGGAAGGGCCAGTGCTTGTCCCCTATAAACATGGCATGCTATTTGTAACTTTCAACTGGGAAACCCCTTAAGTTCATAGGTCAAAATAAAGCACAGTTTCCGAATAATTCCGAATATCAGAATGCTGCTTCCTGATCCGTTTTGTTTTTCCTCTCCTCTTCTTCCAGGTCACAAGACAAAAATGGCCTCGAGCACAAGCGGTGAGGAGGAGCGTAGCCTCCGAGAGTGCGAGCAGTATGTCCAGAAACACAACATCCAGAAGCTGCTCAAGGACTGCATCATCCAGCTGTGCACCACCCGGCCCGACCGTCCCCTGGCCTTCCTCAGGGATCACTTCGACAGACTGGAGAAGGTGGGAGCTCAAGTCGTATAACTATTCATTAATGCAGGATGTAGGGCCAATGTAAGGCAGGGATTGCTAAACCAGGGTAATGAATGGGCCCCAGGGCTACAAATTCAAAACGGAGAGAACGGAGCTTTCAAAAGTTTAGTTACACTCTACATGGCCCGATTTAGATCATGCTTGTCCAAACATCTGGTCAAAAGGCATCATATTCAGACGGAGAATGAAAATAACTGCCGTCACTCGTAGCTCTGGTGCCCCATTTACGTGTAACGTTACCACGTCAGGTGTGTTATGTTTGCTGGTAGCCCAGAGCCCACACAGGGAGTTAACTAACTCTTACAAACATGGGTTACTTATTAAATCTAACCATTTTTTTCATTGTTTTGCATTTCCATCATCACATTAGTCTTTAATAATTTGTCACAAGAAAAAATATTTTACATAAAATAAAGCAAAGTTAATTCTGTTTCCAATGAGTTTTTCCCTTAAAAGATAACAAAAAGAACCGGTAAAATAATGTTAAAGTATCGGATCGATCAAGATTTTTTAGAACACCAGAAATAGTAGCTAAAATGAGTCCGACAAACTCAGATAGATGATGGAGAAATTGTGGTGCACCCATACCCATGTGTTTTGGTCGTGCCCTAAACCAAGAAAGTTCTGGGATGAAGTGTTTGAGGCCCTAAATGAAGTGTTCCACCAACATTTGACAAAGGATCCTAAGGTGGCACTGCTAGGTGTGCGACCAGAAGGCATTGAGGTAAATATTGCCTACAGCAACAATTCAATGTATCACAATTTAGTGCAGGGGTCGGCAACAGGTGGACCGCGGTCCAGACCCGGACCCAGACGCCGACCTATACGGACGGACCTATAATCAATAATACATCTTTAACCGCTGCCGACAGTGGGCGAAAGAGACGAGAGAGCGACCAGGGAGAGAACACAGAAGAAGAGATGAGAGAGCGGCAGAGAGAAGCGGAGAGGAAAGTGAGTGAAGAGAATAATTAGCGATACAGGGAGAGAAGCGGAGAGTGAACAGGCGTGTTAGCAGCAGACAGGGAGAGACAAATAATTACACATGGCGCTCTCCAAGAAGAGGAACGTGGACAGTGAGAACAGAGCTTTTAACCCTGATTG